AGTGCGAAACAAATTTCGTTCTCTTTTTAATCGGTCGATTCATAGCTTCAGTTATGCTCAATTGAATATCTTCTCCAAAGTCTCCAGCTTCAATAAATTTGTAATCCATTTCTATTCAGAGATTCGACTAACAAAATGCGAAATATGGAGTTTTTATTTAGTTTTTCTTTTAGACTTTTGACAGAGTTTGCTGGGAAAAATATTTTTGGTTTGAGGCATTTAACCAAAAACCTGACGTAATGAACCAATTTTATCAACGGATTTGGTTTCAGCGCGTCAAAGTTGAGAATGTGTTGACCTGATGTATATTTGGAAATATAGATACTGCAGACAATAAGAAAAAGTTATCAATTAATTGAATCTAAGAGGGAAATTAATTGATTTCTTAACAAAAAAGCACCAAATACCTATTAATTATTCGATCAATTTTTATATTCTTTCCTAGCTCAATTGTAGAGCATCTATTAAGCGAGAGATCTCAGTTCTCTTGTTAGTGTGTCGCTTCGCATAAATATATGCGATTTTTCACTCTTATTGGCCGCGTTCAGGAAATACAACTATTGAGTGAGCGCTCATTATGATTAGTTCTTACACTTAGATCCGGAGAAGAACCAAAGGTAAGAACCAATCATATTAAAGAATCACTAACCGCTCACTCAACAGTTGTTTTCTGAATGCGGCCATTGCTCTATTCAAAAGGATAAAAAATTCATAACACAAAAAGAACCCAAAATTACTTCGTACGAAGAATTCTTACAAGACCAAAATTATTTGATGTGAAAAGTGTTTATATTGGTACGAGTATACTGGTACTAGTTTTGTATGAAAAAAAAGATAAAAAATTTCGGCGTATAAAAAAATAAATAAAAGAATAAGGTAATTCGCTCATAAAGAGCATTTGAAAACCTACAAAACATGTAATTTGTACTAGATCTTATCATATTCTAGAATATGATAAGATCTGGTTTAACTAGATAAACAATAGTAATACAATCCTTAGTTTGAAATCTATAATTAAGAAGAAGAAAGAGAAGATGGAAACCAAGATATGTTTGATCCTAATGACTTGAAAAAAAAAAATTAATTGTATGATTATTTGCTTATGTGTCGATCGTATTTTAGTGTAGTGCTTAATAAATGTTTAATGAATACCATCCCGTATATTCTAGTAAAAACAAGTCGATATCTTTATGCAAAAATTAACGTAAAAAAACTACATTTTTCTTTTTTTTAAAGATTGCATTTATTTATTAACGTTCGAACGTATGAATGCCTGCAATAATTTAGAAATATTTGAAATGTTTTCGTGTTAGTTTTTCTAACTGTAGATATCGTAAGTAATGTTTCTGACTGTTGACATTGTGAGCGACGTCAGAAAAACTAGCATGGAAATATGCGCTGTCAAAGTCTGTTCAGTTCAGTTTTGATTTATAAAAGAGAATGTTAGTATTCACAGCTTACCTTTTTTCTTCTTCTATGTTTGATCTTGTAAATCCTGTGTGAATCACTACGTTTGTTCGTCTCCCCACATGATATTTTTATTGATAGATATCATGTCTGGACGTTCTTCATGAATGATCTTGAAAATTATGATGTACCCAACACTGAAGGGTAATCAATATAAATGAGACTGATATATGATTCTAACGATAAATCACGACTAAATTGTACTTTAGAAGCTCATGATCGAGACTCTCCCTCCTCTCTCTCTTTCTCTCTTTCTCTTCCTCTTCCTCTCCCATCTCTCTTCCTCTCTTTTCCTCCCCCTCTCTCTCTTTCGCGCGCATGATATTTCAACCTGTGCTATTGTGATATTCAACATGCTAATAATTTTGATCTGGAAATTATACTAGTGAAAGACATTATTAATTATGGAATTAATTATTTATCTGCAAATTAGGAATTCTGGATTTTACTGAATTAAGCTTAGAATAACCTAGTATAATTTCTTATTTTACCTTTTTTCTTTGCTTAATTTTATCTACAGAGTGTTAATGAATATAAATTCCTTCGATGATTTTGTTTTCAATTTGAGAAATATCAATTTTTTTAAATCAAAATATAAAAATTGGGTAATTATTTAGATTAAATGAACCCCCTCTGCAATGACCTTGATCTTGATATATAGGGTATCTTAAGTTTTTCTGGACAAACTTTAGTAGTATGTTCTATGAGCAGAAATAAGAAAAAATCGTTATATAAACATAGGTCCTAAAATGGTTTATTAGATGTAAAAGTGTCGTTATATTCAATCCTTCAATTATAAACAGGCGGCGAGACAGCTCAACAGTTTTAACGTACCATTTATGATCTTGATCACATTGAATTTTCCCCCAAATTGACGCAATCGTACGCACGATATGTTACGCACATATGTAAACGCATGTCTTGTTCGCTATCATCAAAACGGAATTTATGTTCAACTCAACGTGTAAATTACATGATAGATGAATTTGTGTTATCGCGTCACGTCGCGAGAATGGCAATTACTTCGCTTATGAATACGACTTGTATAGAGCTTGGCTGGCAGTAACATACTGTAGCATGGCCTTTCCTCCTAGGTAGATTGGTCAACCGCGCGAGTTACTGGACAATAAAAAAGAAAACACGGCGACGACATTGCAAGGTTGGCGATTATTGCAATCGGAATGACGCAACGTGAGGACTGCGTTGTTTTGTCGCAAGAGGTTTTCTATTAAATTCTCTGTTTGCGGAATCAATTCTTTTACATCGTCAAAAATTACTTTTTTCGAGGGAAATATCTACTATGATTGTTTTTATAATAAAAAACTTGCAAATATTCCTCTTCATGATTCCTCTTGGTGAATTTTAATGAGCTTGAAATATATTGTAAAATGACGTATTAAGACCCGTAACGTATATTTTTTAATAAGAACTTCCTTGTATGATGATGAAAAGATATACCTCCTTTGAAAAACATTCTCTTGACTTTTATGTTTCTAAGCATACACGGTTAAAACTGTAAGAAACATGGAAAAAATATTTTAAACAAAAATGTTATAGTTTTAAAAGAACTTTGTAAAAGTGTAGGGGAGACCGGGGCGGAGTCGTCACTGCAATTATCGAAATCTGTATGTTGTGTGAACTCGTCATTAATATTGTAAACACTACTTATGGTGCCCATGGTGACCAACGGAGTTTAGTGAGATTATATGCTGTTGTGATTTTCATTAAGGCAAACGTGTTTTTGGAGGTCAAAAGTAAAATTTTTTACGCGTCGAAAATATTAAATATTTTAAATATTATTTTTTTTTCAAATCTCAATATAGTGATTCTGAAGAGTAATGCATGCTAAACACAAATCCAGTATACTTTGTTTATTTTTGTTGATTTCTAATATTTCATGAGCGATCAAACTTAAAATCTCTCTGGGGCGAAGTCGTCACAAAGCCATATCATGGAGGCTTCGGGCGAAAATCAAAGTCAAAGAAGCACCAGTGGTCGGATTCCGGCGTGGACTTGAATAATATGTGTTGCGTGTGCTCAGAGATGACAGAATAGAGCTGACGAGAAATAGTGCATTTCGTGTGAGCGTAGAGCACATAAGTGTGTGTGCTTTTCTTGTAATTATTTTCCGTTAACGTGTTTTTAATTAATGTTTCCATTTTTCTATTAAAAAATAATTAATAAAATGTATCCTATTATTTTTCATGATCGGAATTATAAATTTTCATTTAAAATTCAGTCCGAGAATGAAGTGACGACTCCGCCCTGGCAATTTTGACATTTCAATTTTTGCACCTTTGTCGTTTTCACTCTATACCAGTTGAACAAAGCGACGTAGACCAAAAATGTCCTTATAAATTTTGTAGCCAAGGGTTCACTCTTTACAACAATATATCACATTTTACTAAAATTATTTGTTTTGTTGTTAAAAATCGGGACTGAAAAAATAGTGACAACGTCTCCCTTATTCTCCCCTATTTTAATTTTTGGCAAAAATGTTATTTTTGGGGCCCCTCAATTTGATAGATCTTTTGCTGAGAAAAAGAATGCCGCAAACCACAATGCGCTATAATGCATAGTTTTTGAGATACCAATTTATATAATCCATCACATAGTATAATAATATACACAGAATTAGCAGAGAGAGAGAGAGAGAGAGAGAGAGAGAGAGAGAGAGAGAGAGAGAGTTTGAGTTTGAGTTTGAGTTTGAGTTTGAGTTTGAGTTTGAGTTTGTTTATTATGCCATAGTCAAGACTTTAGGCAAATGATGAAAAATACAATGATATACATAAAGTAAACAAGAGTAAAGTAAAAACAAAAATTGGAAAAAGTAAGAACTAAAAAGATACAGTACAGATGAGATAACTATAATAAAGCAGTGAGCAAAAGGGAAACAATGAAAATAATAATGACTATATTGCAAAAAGTAATAATGTTGTTTCCACCTCAGCAAACGCTTCAGAACCAAATTTTGTTGACAGTATTAATAACTGAAATAATGCTGAAGAAAAAAAAAATCAACAGAATTCGGTCGTGCTCTCTCTCTAACAACAATCGCAGAAAAATGACATTGATACTTAAAACTAGTTAAGACGTTAAGGCTCCTGGATGGTTACCGCGGCCATATTGAATTCTCACTATTGAGGCGAGGAAAACACCCAATTTTGTCGTCCGTACCATTTTCAAATAAAGAGACATTTCAATAAAACATCACTATAGATCGTTTCAGAACACTTCCGAAATTGACCGAAAACTACCCTTTTCCCTCGACAATAAACAAACAGCCATAAAACAAAGCCTAAACATACGGGAAAAACAACCGTTTAACGACTATCGAAAGGAGGTGAAAACGTTACTTCCGCATGCAAATCTTACTTTTCGGTCAATTTTACGATTTTCACGAATACGTTAAACGTTAGAGCACAAGCACAGAGCGAGTAATAAAGAAATAGCAAGGACGACAAAATAGGTTGTCAACATGTCACAAGACAGAATTCTCCATTGGAGAGAGTGACAGGAGAGAGTGGCGGCGCCACCGTCAACGCAGAGTTCTCGGCTGACCATCCAGGAGCCTTAATGTAGCGACGATTAATGTACAGTGACTAGGAAGGTTTAGACTAGATGTACTTACACCCATCACGCACTAGCGCTACATCATACATAAACATTAGATAGCCCCAAGGTAGAACCTCAACCAGAACCGAGCTCAAGTGCAAAAATAGATAGCTATTGAGCTTCTGCTTAAATTCATTTAGAGACGAAGACGACACCACCTCGGTAGAAAGCGAATTCCATAAGTAAATACCCGTTAGGTGAAAGGACTGGTGGTAAGTCTCAGTTCTGTGAATGGGAATTTGGAAAGTACTAGGCAGTGCCAGCCGTGACGATCGTCTAATCGAGAGCTCGGCTCTGACAAAGATCTCCGAGAGGTAGCTAGGAGACATACCATAATGTATCTTGAACATTTCGATGCCAAGGAAATAGAGACGTCGATTTCTAACAGACAGCCACCCTAATTAGTGACGGTAAGGAGTGATATGTTCGTCTCGACTCAAATTAAAGATAAACCGAATCGTACAATTGATAAGCCTCTGCAGTTTTGTGTTAAGCTCATCAGTAACATCGGTATAAACAAGAGAGCAGTAGTTTAACAGAGGCCAAATCAATGCAGACACAAGTTTTACACGCAATTGTGATGATAAGGAGTTTTTGTGAAACTTAAGCTTGTGCAGCGTGAAGTGTACCCGCTTAGAAATATGAGCGACGTGGCCATTCCAAGATAGATCGGAGCTCATAATGACACCCAGATTCCGAGCCTGAGAGACAAACGGAATAGAGGAACCACTGACAGAGATGAGAGGTAAATCGTGTAGATCAATTTGGTCGACGTAACGCTTGCTACCGAATATTAATACTTTGGATTTCTTAAGATTGAGAAACAATCCATTTGTGGTCGCATATTCAGAGATGACTCCGACATCATGGGCCACCAACTGCAAAGCAACATTCAACTGACTAAAGAGACACTTACGGTAAATCTGAGTGTCGTCAGCAAAAATCAAGCGTTGAGTAAATCTAAGAAACGCACCAATGTCATTAATGAAAAGGGAAAAGAGGAGCGGTCCCAATACTGATCCCTAAGGCACGCCAGAGGTGATGGATAGCCACTCGGAGAATTCACCAACCAGATCAACGACCGCCTGAGAGCGACCAGTGAGGTACGAAAAAATTAATTTGAGGGCAAGATCAGAAAACCCTAGTTTCCTCAGTTTAGACAGAAGCAAAGGATGAGAGACAGTGTCAAAAGCCTTGCTGAAGTCAAAGAGGACAAGGATCAATACCTCACCTGCATCAACGCTACTCTTAATATCGTGAGATAGTTTAAGAAGGGCAGACTGGGTAGAGTAACCCTTACGATAACCAGATTGACGGTCGTCGAGAATATGGTGCAAATTGATAAAATCAACGATTTGGCGGTGAAGGATTTTTTCAAACAGCTTGGAAAGTTCACACAAGTTGGCAATAGGTCTCGTTTCAGAGGGAGAGGTAGGTGATCTAACTTTAGAGAGAGGACGCAGTATAGCACGTTTCCACAGAGAGATGGGAAATAACCCAGATTGAGACAGCAGTTGAAAAAAGAGGTCAAAAGGTTACTAATATCAGGAAAGGCCAAGGCAATAGGAAACAGAGGTAATTGATCGTAACCTGAGGCGAAGGAAAGAGAAGGTGAAGAAACCATCAAGGAGCGAAGGTTATCGTGGGATATTTCGGTGAAACTGAAAAGTGGTTCGTCAGGCATAGTGGATGAAATAATGTTGGAGAATTGAGATTGTGAACAGGAAGGATAACGATTTGAGACAGAGGAATAATGGGTATTCAAGAGATCACGTGAAAAAAGTCAGACCAAAATCAGACGGGAAAGATGTAGAGAGCTTAGAAGTAAGAGTCTGAACGAACGCTTCCTCGTCAAATCTCTTGTAGCAGCGACGAACTAAGGTGCGATTAGTGAAGGACGGAACCTTGAATGAATAGGATAACTCAATGAGATCGTGACCATTGATAAAAGGAGCGTCATACTTTCAAAAAAATAAAACTTTATCCAAGTTGTCAACTATGAAAACGTCTAACTATGAGTCTGAGGAGCCGGTGTGAAAAGTTGACCGCGATTCAACAATATTAAGCGACAACTGTGAGACAATGCCTCTAAGGTGATTAGATTCGTATGATGATGCAAGGAGGTTACAATTCAAATCACCCGTAATAATGATGTTCTTATAATTATGTGTAAATGTAGTAAGCACGTCAATGTAGTTACTGAAATTTTTGCCTTTAGGTCTGCGGTACATGGTGGTAAATAGGAGAGGCTCGCGCGTGCCATAACGGATGTCGAGAATGAGATATTCGGGAGCATTCAAGAAAGCCGAAGGCGACGACGCCAGAACGCGCGCCCGCAATGATTCATGCACGTAACAAGCAACACCACCTCCCTCCCTGCCCTCTCTGTTTACACGCAACAAATAATAACCAGAGATACGCACTAGATCATCAGAAATGTGTGAGTGAAGCCAGGTCTCAGAAATCGAGATAATGTGAAAAAAGTTAAACGATAAAAAGGCCTGAATTGACTCAAGATGAGCAGGAAGGGAGCTAGCATTGAAGTGAGCAATCGCGAGACAATCATGCGAAGCAGACGGAACACGGCCAGAATCAACATTGAGTCACTGAAGCTCAGCAAGATCAGCCTCAGTAGTGATAAGAATTGGAGATTGACCATGGTCTTTGCGGACAAAGATCTGGCCATCTCTGCACCATACGTGCTTAAAAGATGACTGTTTAACCTTTACGCGAGTCCGGCGCAACAAATTATAAATATCCGTAGGAAGTAGCTCATTTATATAAATGTGCCCGGGGACATCTCTAGAGAAAACTTCGCGGACAGTCAGTCGACGCTTACGGCGCATAGTCAGTCGACGCTTACGGCGCACCAAGAATATAGTCGCGAATCTCTCGCGACTTAAGTATAACAATAATTGATCGTGGTTTAGCAGCACGATCAGAGGCGGAGACAGTGCTAGGCGCCACGTCACGCATCGCAGACACGTTGCTAACCCCCACCTCTCGAGCCTCAAGAACATCGGAAACAAGCTGCGATGTACCCAGCGCGCGAAAAACACTAGTAACGAGCTGTTCAGATGTGTCGGTTAAAGAACCTAGTATCCCGGAAATGATAATATCGGAAGTTCGTGAGACTCGAGACGAAGGAGATCGCGGAAGACGAGAACGACTCTGGGTGCGTTCCGAGTTACGCATGAAGCGCGTAGACTGCATAAAAAGTCGTTCCGATTTAGCCAATGCGCGCATTGGGAGCGCTTTGGTAGCGCAGAGAATTTCCTAGATTGTACTGACCGTACTGAATTCTTAGCACTCCTCTCAGCGCATTGACTACTTCTATTTCGACTTGAGGCAGTTGATGCGTCTGATGCGTTTATGCGGTCTATGCGCTTCATGTGTAATTCGGAACGAACAATCGTTCTTCCAATAAGTCCGTTAACCTGTCCCTTCGCAATGGAACAGCAACTGCAAGAATTTCCGGTTATAATAGAAGAAACTAACGAAGTAATAACGTTATAATTAAGTACAGAAGATGTGGAGAAAGCAAGGGATGGTAAAGTTAATGTATTATTTTACATGGATTTATTTAATGTATAGGTTATACGTTAGTTTAACCATTGTGTTGTTTTTCATAGACTCAGAATTTTTGCGGGACTTTGTTGCAAAGGCACAAGGCGTAAATAACAATAATATCGAGCCTGTAACTGAACTGGAAGATTCAACAAGTGAAAATGCTGTTGACAAAAACAATGCCGGTAAGATGCACACATTATTTTTGTGTAACCAGTGTCTATAATCAAGTCTTTAATTTTGTATAAAAGTATGTTTATGCAAGTTTAAGAATAATATATATACTAATATTTCTTGATGATCTTTTGTGTTTACTTTTTAATTTAATTTTTAGATGAGTCAAAAACATTCGTATGGCTGGACAAAGCGGTACTTTTATTAATTGAACTGCATAGAGAAAAGGAGGAAGAGTTTTCAAGTGGTTTCAAGCGTAGCAACAAAATTTGAACTGAAATTGCTGCTGAGATGAACAAAGCCAACCCAGCCTACGAAATAACAGCACAGCAATGTTCATCAAAAATGGCTGGCTTGAAGCGGACGTATAAAAATATTGTTGATCTGAATAAGAAGAGCGGCAATAATGGAAATTCATGGGCATTTTTTCGGTATGTTTTACCACGCACGCACGCACGCGCGCACGCATTTTATTTATTGTATGCGATATTGTTGCACAGGTGTGCAACAAGATATATTTGTATATTATTTAACACATTATTCCCATCATGCACTAGGTTATGAATTCATTATTTGATGACAAAGCGTCCATTAGGCCTCTTGCAATTGCTACAAGTGACGGTCCATCGGACCCAAATCAGGAAGGATCATCGTTATCAATGATTTCATTTCCTACATCGAAAAGTAAGACTTTTCACTTGTGTACACTTGTAGTGTAAAGTGCTCTTATCGCGGCTTACAGCGCTTAAGCGTCAAGACAAACGCAGCCTTAATATTAATTTAATTCTGTTTTTATTATTTATTATAGTATAATAGTCGTTTTTGTATTTTTTATTACAGGTCCGCCGAAAAAGAGAAAACGAATGGAAAACGTTATGGAAGAGTTCTTGGCCAATATTGCGATAGAAAAAGAAGAAAAAAAAAGAAGAAATGAAAAGACAAGAAAAGATACGCGAAGAAAGAAGAATACAACGTGACAAAAGGCATGAGGATCAAATAAGCGTACAGAAGTCATTAGTCTCCATATTAGGACAATTTATTTAAAAAATGTAGTTTGTACTCTTCTTAAAAGAAATGTTTAAAGTTAAGCGTTACTAGTTGGAAGCTTTAAAAGATTTATTTTATATTAATTACTTTATTTTAATTACGAGTTTTAAATTGGTTTAAGTGGGTTGTAATTCTCACAAAGTATGTTACGTTATGCTTACGAGCAATAGGTCTCGCCTATCAAAGGATATCTTTTAAACGCTTTTTTAAAAAATTTTAAGAAAAAATTATTTTTATTTTTTAAAATGTGAAAGTACAAACATTTAAAATACTAGTTATTTTGTTCACATTTCAAAATACACGAAATGTACGACTGAAATTCATAAGACTGAATAATATAATAGAAATAAAACCAAAAATTAAACATAACTAATGTCGGTTTATCAATCAAAAATGTTTATTCATAAAAAAACAATATAAAATCCTTTGTATTACATCAAAATATTTATTATCGATCAATTGACGAGCCTCATTTGCAATGCACATTATTCTTGTTTTTTTAGCATTTCCCATGTCAGTGTTATTGTCGCGAACAGGTGCCTGTAATTCCTCATTTTGTAATATGCAAATATTATGTAATACGCAACATGCTATGATAAACTCTGGAATTTTTTTAACACCCGTCAGTGGTAGACAATCTAATAGTATTCTAAAACGTATTTTTAATTGTCCAATCGCACGTTCAACTGCCATTCTTGTTGACGATAGACAATAATTAAAATTTTTTGGTCGGTTCGACAAATGACCATTGTCTCGAAATGGGACCAACAGGTGCGGATGAATTGCATATGCAGCGTCTCCGATAATATGGGAGTCATTAGGGAAGTATATGTCAGGCATCTCTAGAAAACGTGCTACTGGCGAGTTTCTAAAAACTCGAGCATCGTGAATTGATCCTACTTGTCCTGCATAACAGTGCGTAAAGAGGCCACGTGAATCACATACTACTTGGAGATTTAAGGATGGAAAACTTTTTCGGTTTATATAAAAAGCTGAATCAACTAGCGGAGCTCGGATTTTAATGTGTGTTCCATCTATGGCATCGATGTCATTTGGAAAGCCGCAAGTCCTTTTGAAATGTTCCATGATATCTGCAACAACAACTTTTTTGGGCCACTGTATAAATCGTGGTGCGATGCAATGAAGTGCGTAGGTAACACGTCTCACAGCCCTAAAAGCAGTTACTTTACCAACTCCAAATTTGACACAAACGGATCTGTAACAATCCAGAAAAGTAAGCAATGGGAAGCTTGTCGCAAAACAATTTAATAGCATTTTTCACTGGCCGCATTGGTGCGCACTACATAACAGCAATGTGTTTTTATTTTGGTACACAAATTCGGCACTAGCTACAAGACATGGTGTCAGTTGAATGCAATATGGCACTCAGTCCCAAACAGCATACATGTCTAAAAGATATCGTAAAGATATCATTAAGATTGTCTTTTAGTCATTATCTCGGAGATGCTACTGAGTGAAAAATGCTATAAATATGTGGTGATTACACCAGTATAGAGCATAGATGGGTTTTACATACCTGTACGAATCGGGAGTAGCCATAAACCAAAGAGCAATATATAGTTGTTTCTCTGCTGAAATTAGTTTTTTACCAAATATGGTACCTGTGGCATTTAGTGCTGGTCCAATCAGTGATAAAACCATTTCAAATGTAGCCGGATACAGCCTAGAATATTAGCTAGAATAAACGTAATTTTTTACAGCACATATGTTTTTAGGTTGAGTGTTGTGTGAGTGGAAAAATATATGCGGTTGTACAACCTACTTGTTGTGTAAGTGAGTCACACATACAACAATTGGGTTGGGTTGTATTAGTTTTTTTGAAGGTGGAGCCCGTCGCAGAGGGACGGAACCCACTGCAACACCTAACAACTAATCTATGCTGTATAAAGAAGAATGTAAACAAAGTATCGATCGAATGATATTAGCATTGTATCCTGCTTTCGTATTGTAGAAAACAGAAATTTTAATGCTTCATAACTTTTGGACGAATCGTGATGACCACCACTTTTTCGGCGCTCTAAAATACGATACCTAACTGCTAATTCTAGACCGAATAGAAGCTCCATGTAAATTTTGAACCAAATCGGAGGTGAAGACCCTAATATAGAAATTTACCTAAAATTATCATTTTTGTCCGGTACTGTAATTACGTATTACAATGCTTATTAAATTTAATTGTGTTGTCGATTTTATCAATTGGCGATTTCTTTGAATTTCGTACACATGTAAATCAATTAAATCATTTCGCTCATCAGTTCTCTCGCTCGTTGCTTATCGGCGGTATCGTTAAAAGCACGAGAAAATGGCACGCACAATTATGCTTTGTCCTACCTCGTTCCGACAATCGAGATCCATTTGATTTCGCCATTGATACGCGTTCTCGAGAGCTTTTCTTAAAATTTTTAAAGAAAATCGCAAGCATAGCTGCGATTGACTAGCAAATAAGATTTCTGATTCATCTTTTGAAGGAAATTTAATCGATCCGTTTTAAGATACAAATGATGACCGTACTGTCCTTTGGATCAATCTAACACAAACGATACAAATGATAAATAACGCAATTTACTACACGCCGATACAATGCTCTAAATATTAATACGCGAGAACAGTAGAAATTTATTTAAGCTAATGAAATTATTTATTTTTATATCAACGAAATATATTCTTTAATATTTCGCAATGCTATATTAGAAATTGATTATACAATAATGTAATTTCTTTATTATAATTAAATGTTTGAAGGAGTTTGGTTTGAATTCAATTTTTATATGCACACAAGAATCTTACTTTTATTATTCTCTTATAAAAGTGGTATGAAACCCTGAAGTTGGCTGAATCGCGTTTGCAATTGTTGCCATGTTATTGCGAATGCGATTGGTCCGTCTCGATTCAGTCGATTGATTGAGTGTACAAATGTTTTTTGCATAGATAATAACAAATAAATAACATCACAAGGCGCGCGCGAAGCGCGCACTATAATCTAGTCTTCTAAAAAAGGCATCGATACCACAGTATAAGTAAGAACAGTAGGTTCACTCCCCTAAGAAGTTGGTAAATGAATATGGCGACTTTGGCAATCAATAACATGGCGGCTATCATCTGACAGTTCATTTGGGTTAGATACATCGGCGTTAGTTGAATTGTATTTGTATTTATTAAAAAAAATTTTTTTAAATAAAATTATAATAAGTTATAAAGGTGGTTATCGGTGTGCATTTAAAGATTGTAGTAGTGTTAGCATTGGAAAAATAGGATAAAGAAAAATATAAAAAAAAAACTTTGTTCCGATTTCCAAAAAAAAAAAAATTTACAACACAAATAAAAATGTATTAATTCTTATAATATTAAGCTTTTAAATTAATTATTGTTAATATTAATTATGTATTGTTAATACTAATTATATTATATAATGCATTTTAAAATTTATTTTATTTCCAATGTAAATAAATTATGTATTTTTTACTTACAATGTAAAAAATGTGTATTATTTACTTAAAATATAAATAAAATATGTCGGGACATTTTTGCTTTAAATATTTAATTAATATAATATTTCTTATATTTTTTTCATTTCTTATATAATTATCACAAGCGGTTTCTATTATTCAAATAAAGCGCGCATGTATTTTTTACTCATGTACGTGTGTTGTGACATTTTTGCTTCGAATATTTAATTAATATATTTCTTATACTTTTTTTCACTTCTTATCAAGAGACACGGTAGTGTCTCGTACCAAGTACATACACGCGGAGCAAGACCGACCGTGACTCTTTTACGCGACGCGACGGGTTGCGAGTACCCGAGATGTTGAGATCTCGATAACGAGTGAACGGATCAAGTTCTAAGTAGGCTTGATCGATAGCTGGGGTCCAATTAGGGGGGGGGGGAGTTTCTTTTATAATATTCCGCTACGTGCCCTACGAGCGGAGATATTGCGACGCAAAGTCCAAATGTGAAAATTTTAATATTAAGGTACTTCTCCTAACGCCGACGTCTTATATGACATATATGTATATAATTAAAAATGTCACTTTCACTTTTTTGACGCTGGCGGCGCAGGTATCGCCAGTTTCGATATCGCGCGCGTATTTCGAAATTAGGTCGATAGACTTATCGGTCAGGAGAAAGATTTTTATTTAGGTAAATTAGGTATATATATAATATATATTGAGTCAATTGCTTCATGTTTATCTGGAGAGATTTCGTATCCTTACATCGTATTATCACTGCTGCCGGAAAAGAAGGTTCTCTACGCTTGGCAGAAAGTGCCGCTAGGGAATTTTTAAGTCGATTCTTATGAATCAAGCTTAAATTCGATGTCTAGGTATCCCAGGTTGCCGATGACGAGGTCCAGATAGTGCGCTTCATAGTTTTCGGTGTCCAGGTGTAATAATACGTTAAATTCAATGTCTACGTGTCCCAGGTTGCCGATGACAATGTCTAGATAGTGAGCTCCGTAGTTTTCGGTGTCTACGTGTATTAATACCTTGAATTCGATGTCTAGGTGTTCCAGGTTGCCGATGACAAGGTCCACATAGTGCGCTCCGTAGTTTTCGGTATTTACGTGTATTAATACCTTGAAATTGATGTCTAGGTGTCCCAGGTTGCTGATGACGAGGTCCAGATAGCGCGCTCCGTAGTTTTCCGTGTCTAGGTGTAATAATATCTCGAATTCAATGTCTACGTGTCTCAGGTTGCCGATGACGAAGTTCACATAGTGCGCTTCGTAGTTTTTGGTGTTTAGGTGTATTAATAACTTTAAATCTAAATGTAGGACACGTAGATATCGAATTCGAGGTATTAATACACGTAGACATCAAAAACTACGGAGCGCACTATATGGACCTCGTCATCGGCAACGTGGGACACCTAGACATCAATTTCAAGGCATTAATACACGTAAACACCGAAAACTATGGAGCGCACTATGTGGACCTCGTCATCGGCAACCTGGGACACCTAGACATCGGATTCAAGGTATTAATACACGTAGACACCGAAAACTACGGAGCGCACTATGTGGACCTCGTCATCAGCAACGTGGGACACCTAAACATCGAATTTAACGTATTATTACACCTGGACACCGAAAACTATGGAGCGCACTATTTGGAACCCGTCATCGGGAACCTGGAACACGTGGACATCGAATTCAAGGTATTAATACACCTGGACACCGAAAACTATGGAGCGCACTATGTGGACCTCGTTATCGGCAACCTGGGACACTTAGACAGCGAATTCAAGCTTGATTCATAAGAATCGACTTAAAAATTCCCTAGCGGCAGAATAAAAATTATGTCATGACATAATAAAAATTCGCTAAATTAAAATTATGTCTAGACATAATAAAAATTGGACGAATAATAGTAACCTTTCGAAAGTAGAGGTTTTAAGCTTGAAATTTAAATTTTATTTATTTTTAACAAAGTTACAGCTGCTCGAATTTTGCCTATTTTTAAAGATAAATTTAGTGTTCCTTCTATTTTTGTGAGAAATGTATAATTTACTTTTACTTAAATATTATTAATTTTTATGTATTTGTTGTTATTGCTAATTTTGTGAATAATTAAAAAATAAAAAATAAAAATGTTTTGCAGATCCCCTTGCTTAACGCTACAAAATAGGTGATATCAGTACAAAATTACTTTTTTCAAAAAAGGTAAAAAAAAGTGCCAAGTACACGCAATGTATTTTGTAAATTCAAAAATCTAACTTAAGTGGTAGCTTTATATCTTTTTCACAAAATTATATTATCTAACTTAACTCAAGTGACATGTATTTAAAAAAAAAGATGTGAAATCTTTAATTTTTTCTTCACAAAATGATATTACCTAACTTAACTCAAGTGACATGTATTTAAAAAAAAAAAATGTGAAATCTTTATTTTGTTCTTCACAAAATGATATTATCTAACTTAACTCAAGTGACATGTATTTCAAAAAAAGATGTGAAATCTTTAAATTAAATTGCGCCAATTGTAAAGAGAATATGTATATTGCTTTGAAAGATAATTGTTATGCAACTACTTTAAAGAAATAAAACCCAAGTGGTATCTTCGTATTCTTCTTCAAGGGTCTTCCTATTCTAAACCCAAGTGATAATAGCTTCTTAATTCTTTTTAACAAATTTTTAATATTACAAAGAATCATTTTAATTACAAAGAATTAAAGAAGTAACAGTACAAAATATAAATATTTAATTAAAACAAAATAAATAAATTTTTCTTGTAAAATAACTTGGCGCTGCTTTTTTACTCTTGTCGCATTCTTCCCTAAATTATGTTTATTGTTTTTATTCAATCAAAAATCTTAGTACTAATGTTTTAATGTTTAAATTTCAAAGTCTAGCAGAGCCAAGTTTTTTTACAAGAAAAATTTATTTATTTTGTTTTAATTAAATATTTATATTTTGTACTGTTACTTCTTTAATTCTTTGTAATTAAAATAATTCTTTGTAATATTAAAAATTTGTTTAAAAAAATTAAGAAGCTATTATCACTTGGGTTTAGAATAGGAAGACCCTTGAATAGAAATACGAAAATACCACTTGGGTTTTATTTCTTTAAAGTAGTTGCATAACAATTATCTTTTAAAGCAATATACATATTCTCTTTACAATTGACGCAATTTAATTTAAAGATTTCACATCTTTTTTTGAAATACATGTCACTTGAGTTAAGTTAGGTAATATAATTTTGTGAAGAAGAAAATAAAGATTTCACATCTTTTTTTTGAAATACATGTCACTTGAGTTAAGTTAGGTAATATTATTTTGTGAAGAAGAAATTAAAGATTTCACATCTTTTTTTTGAAATACATGTCACTTGAGTTAAGTTAGATAATATAATTTTGTGAAAAAGATATAAAGCTAGCTACCACTTAGGTTAGATTTTTGAATTTACAAAATACATTGCGTGTACTTGGCAATTTTTTTATCTTTTTTGAAAAAATATAATTATCAAGCGGTTTCTAGTAAGCGGTTCAAATAAAACACGATCAGGCAATCAACATCATGGCGAACGTTCGCCACGAAGAACAATGAATCCGACACGGAGTGAACCTACTGTTCTTACTTATACTGTTTCGATACTCAAATCCACAGTCTTACATACAGGTCTCTCAACTCGATAGAATTTTAGTGATGGGGGTGACTCCAATATCGAAGTCATTTCTTGTGGTGTCGCTGCTATCGAGGGATGTCGATTTGACACGCGATTTGAAATACGTAACCTGTGTTGTCATTGCGTTAAATAGTTCGTCACAGTGCACGCGTTCTATAATTTGACGTGATAACAAAACCGTGCATTGTACCGAAATGCAAAACAGGCTTTAAAAACCTAAAAATAAAAAAAAATTTGTCTTATTTCGAGTTTTCAACTCCCGTTGTGTTTCCCGAGAGCGAAATGAATGAATGGAAGTTATAGAATCTGATAAACGAGCACCCTGCGTGCATGTAATTTCTTTATTCAACCGGAGTGCATAGTGATATATCGAGAATAACATATAGTTAATGTCTTTATAACGTTAAAGTGATGTATCTTACAGGCGATCTGTAACTTCAAAATATCTTATAAACTTGCGACTACCACACACCGTTGAGCAATTAACTCGACTTTT